AACAAATAAGAAACGTAATATGACATTTACAACAAGTTTAAAAGAAAAAAAAAAAAGCAACACAAATGGCTACAAACGTAACGCACACAAACACACACGCATACATCAATATGAACACACGTAGAATATAAATACCATTAACACCAGTACCAACACCAACACCAACAGCAACGTTAACATATCAGCACCATTGCAAAAAGGAAGTCGAAATATATACGTAATGCAGTATGCTGCATGTGTGTATGTGTATGGGTGTTATGTTGACTTCATATACATGCACAGCTATATAGATCGTGTGCTGCGTGCTCTTACTACTCGCTAAAACAATACACTTTGAAAGCAAGCAACAAATGGAAATTGCCAACACATACACAAATGCACGCTCATCCATCTCTCGTCTTCTGTACGAATTCCTGTTTTATAGAAATAAAATGACAAACTCTTTTGATTTCAGCACAAGAAGTAAAAAAAATAAAAAAAAAGGAAAAAAAGGAAAAGAAAATAAAAAGAAAAACAGAAATACTTTTAATACTTTTACACACAATTCCCTTTTTCTCATTTGCATTTGCAAAAGCACAACAAAATTATTGTTGTTAGTTCAATGACCGCTCTACTCTGCCTTTTTAATACTTATTCATCTCGTCGTCATTCGTATTGTTTTAATACAAATGTTTTATGCACTGCGCTGTCAAAGTGTCACTAAATATTCGCTTGCATTATAAAATCGTTCAATATTGATGTCAATTGTGTTTGCTTACGAATATTTTAAAATTACTTTTGCATCATCTCTCAGTGCATATATTAATTTCGCTACTACCTTGGCAACAAATATATTCATAAATATGTTCTCTAAGTGCTTTCTTGATTCTGTTGAACTCATTTTCCCCCATCCTTCCCATCTGCGCTATTGTGTTACTTTAGGCCGAAGAGGAGTTAAAGTCAAGGCAGAAGCAAAACTATAAGTATAAATTTGAAAAGCAATCGACTCCACGCAATATGAAAATTATCGCGAAACGAAATATCGCAAAAGTCAATCTCGATTCCAAAGTATTTTTACAAAGCAATGCAAGGTAAACGGACTTTCCTATATACACAGGTGCGTACAAGGCGAATTCGTGTAACACGACGGAATAATTGTAATCGTATAATACGCTGAAAGAAGAAGGCGTAGAACGCTCAGTGAAAGAATGGAATAGATGTTGCGATTTTATTTATGGAAAAGCAAATGTAGAAAACATGCCTTGAGAAATTTTTATACGTTTCGGTGAAAAAATCGAAGTTTATTCAACGACCACAAAAAAATTATATAGTGCCATATAGTGCGTTAAGCCGGATTATGCTTTCTTTTACGAGGCTATATTTTGAAAGAAAATAGGCAATTGTAAATATTTCTCGACCCAAATGGAATGAAACCATTCTTTGAGTCCTCAACTGTCAAAATTTTCTAACAATAAATAATGCCTTTCTTGGCTACAAAATTTAAGTTTCTGAAGATGGTGGCGATAATTGTTTCAGTACAGTGATTTAATATAAATTTACTACGTCACACTTAGGTCGCATAAAGCAATTACCTTGCGATTAGCAAGTCCATGAGCTAGGCTACGAAGTTTCTGAATATCCTAAAGACAAAAAAAATTGATTCAAATTTTTGGTGTTTCTTTGCTCGATTACTTTACATATTATTAGTAAATTGTATCCATATGTGAGCGTAACTTGTGCTATTTATATAAGAGTGAATGTGTAAAAGGTCAGCTAGTCTTCCTGACCAGCGAACTAATGGATAGGCAGGAAGTCAGGCAGACAGGCATCGCTCTAAAGGCTTTATCTTATTCGATAAAGAATTTCAGAAGATCTTGAATGTGTAATTTTGCACTTGTGCTTTGCACTATGGGTTTCATTTTTGAGTGTTAATCTATTATCTTTAAATAAAACTGGAAAATCTTAACCACTGATATCCTGAAAGCAAGTAAAAACACTATGTTGGGACACGGCCCACCATTAAACGCCCTAGACCGCTTCGCTTAATATACTTGTTCATATAACGAATTTTTTAAAACAAGGCATTATTTGGGAAGTGATCGAAAAAGTGATCCGCCCGGAGCCATTTTCATTAGCGTAAATCCTGGGCCAAAACAGGTCAGTGTACCAAATTCCATTAAAATATGTACGAAATTGTGGCGTGTATGTTGAAGACAAGAACATAAGACGGACAGACAATAGATGTAATTATGTAAAAATAAATCGTAGAAGGTGGCAAGTACGCACAAGCTCCAAGCGAATCAATTGCGACCTAAAACTTGATAATTATCTGTGAATTTTTAAACATGAAATTGGTTGCCAGCACGTACGGGAGTCATTAAAAAGAGTTAGAAAAAGAAAAAAGAAAAACAAGAAAGAAACCAAATACGCGCCCGTATCGATTTATGAATTTATTAACAGAAAACTAACTGAACACAACTGAACAGAGACACAATCAAACGTTTTCATGTATTGTGAACGGAGGAAGTCGCCTGAGGGGGTGGTATGATGATAAGTATTTGAATGTATATGTATGGGCGGGTGGGTGGTTAAAGTCTGAAACTTGAATATTGCTAACTATGCTTCAAACGTTGATGCTCAATTTTTAAGGGCACTTTTCTAAGGAGCACAACGTCATGGGGAAACACCGGCTTTCCTGCGATATGTTCGACAATAAAGAGTTCAATGAATATTTACACAGTCTTCTACATTTCTAAACGACTGAAATGTTGAAAACTCTGAAATAACGATGAGCTAAATAAATGATAATAAACTTGTTGATGCCGTCAGTAAGTTCACGTATAAGGCATGTAAAAAGCCAATATACTTGCAAGTAAATGAAATCGCATACAACATTATACAAGGCAACAAGACAACAAGACAACAAGGCAACTAACTAATTTAAGTGTAAGAAAAAAGTTTACATTTTTCACAAAGATTTCTTTTTTTATTATTTTCTTCGACAAGTACTTTAGAAATAATGAAGCGTATAAATAAACATAGTTGTTAGTTGCTCGGTAATTAAGTAAATCTCAATTCAATGCCTTTGCAGAGTGCAATAATTGAATGAAGAAGTGCCCATTAAAAAGTATGTTCTACAGTGTATACAACATACAATATGGTGTAAGCGTTGCAGTATATTGCATACTGAAAGTACAGTTTGTCTATTGAGGTTAAAACAGCTTACCTTGCTTTCGCCGTATACACAACTATAGGCCAACACAGATGTATCTGTACGATAAATACAATTACATAGGCATCATTCAATAAGTTTCAATAGTCAATGTCCTCCTCTGTAGATGAGTAGATAGCTATATGTGTGCACACGCATACGTACATATGAATTTTGAGATTTTTTAATTTCTCCTTGAACATACCCTACTCTTGCGCATAATTATATTGCTTTCAATGCAGATTATTATTATTATTATTATTATTATTATTATTATTATTATCATTGATAATGATACACTTTGTGCATGTTGTTCTTTGTTTTAAAGGTCATTTCAATTTTTTCTCAGTTCGTCAATTTTCTCAAGGAAACACGAGACGGATAATGTTTAAGAGTGAATGTACAAAGTTTGACCAAAATTTCTTAAAATCGTTTGTCCTTTGTCTTGTCTTTTCACGATGTCCAATGTGTTTTCTAAAGACACGCTTTCATGAGAGAGATTTCAGGCGATTTTCGCTTTCTGTTTGTCAGGCTACCTTATGTGCGTGATCACGTCTGGAAGCATTGGCTAAATAATGACTTCTCCTTATACGAATACTATGTTTGTTATAAGTGATCTTGCCGTAGTGCTCGTGGCATGCTTTTTGGCCGAGTTCTGTGCCAAGCAAGAGGCCAGGCGCGGTAAGCGTTATTTTATCTTCCTAAATCAAGGCAAAGTGCTATAGAATCGTAATAAGCAGTAAAAAGCAAACGCAATACAACATCGAGAATGGAAGACGTTAATGTAATGGGAATGCCGGAGGTGATCTGGGCAGTAAAGGCAAATATCCTTGGCACTTCATTTGAATTATTTTTTTTCCATTCTTTCACCCATAAATCTCCCTTCTATGTAAACTATCCTGCAAGCAGTATACAGTATACAGTAGTAAAAGTAGTAGTAGCAACATAATGTTTTGATATGTAAATGTATGGGTTAAATTTCTTTATGTAAGTCTGTATATAAAACGGTTTCCAATGAAATAATTCTCGCAGAACAGTAAGCCTTCATATAGCAACAATATATAAATTTTAACATTTTATGACAAAGATAGGTTTTGAATTATATCAAGTGCAGGTTAGTTAAAGTCGACCTTGGCCCACCATGTCGTCACAATTTAGCTTGTTATATGCTACACCAATAATCGCAAAAGGGTATATTAAATTTGTGCGGATATATATAAAACATCTAAAAGCATTTGAAATGAAATCCACTTTTTGTCTGTCCGTCTGTCCAGTTTGTAGTCTTGTCCCAGAATAATATTTTTACGTGTTTTTATATGCATTAACAACATTTCTTTCGTTTCGTTCATGGAATTAATGGCAGATTTTTATCGCGCGAGATTTGTCAAGGGACGAAGGATCGATGTACGAATATGGGTAACATAATTCCAAACGCGAAAATATGAATCAGATGAAAGTACTTTTATCTTTAAGGCATTCTTGACAGAGTAGTCACGAAACTTATTGCATTAACTCAGTTCCGAATTTTGTTAAGGTTACGTTAATCAGCTAGTGAGCGCTTGTTTATTAGTATCTTTCTCTCTCTCTCTCTCTCTCTCTCTCTTATTTTTTTTTTTCGAAGTGTTTGCATTGCAGAGTGAGTGCAAATAAATGGACAGTCGGACGGACAAGTCTATTTCGAGTTTTTATTGATGGAACCTTAAGAATATTCTTTCCATTATAAATATATACCCAGAGAGGGATCGGCAGCATCTAATTAAATTAATTAAGAAGTAATTTTTTTCTCTTTTCTGTTTCTTTTCTTTTACAGATCTAGGACCAATTTTATAAACTTAAAAAAATACCACCAGAAGAAACAACATAAGAGTTTAAGACAACACAAACATTTCTATAAAATTGAATGCGATAATCAACTATAATTGTGAATTTACAACAACAACAAGAATAACAACAACAAACAAATCAAATTTACATTGAAATACACAGAATCCAAACTTTATCCCAACCTCATAAGAAAGTAAATAAAGTAGAAGAGCAACACCAACTATTAACCACCAACAATCAAGCAAACAATCAAAAACAACTAACCGATCAACCACCACCATCATCACTACCACCACTACCACCACCACCACCACACAACTAATCTATTATACTTTTGTCCTCTTAGTTTATCTGACAACAACAAAGTGGATAAAATTTGTTTTAAAGCCACCTTCTGTTCCTCCCCCTCCACTGTAGCGAACGCTTCCATTACCAACACATCCACTAAATATAAAAAGGAACAAGAAGTAAAAATTGGGTTCAAAATTGATCAAATGTTATGTTGCGGTTTGTGCTGTGGCAATATGTCAAAACGGGACTACAAAGTGGCCACAATGGATGGCATCGAATTGGAGCCGTTGGGCGGCGAAAAAATGGACAAGGATAAAGAGAAAGACAAAGAGAAACAGCAAACAAATGGTGTCACTTTTGGTAAGTGAAGCGCAAACACTACACTACCGCATTAATATTTAATTAAATAAATTTGTATAGCGTGCGATTTTATGCTTAAAAAACATATGCTTCCATATGTACGTATGTATGCATTTGTGAGCATAAAACAAAATAAAATTATAGCAAATGTTATATATGTTGTATATGTTATATATATATATATATGTTATATATATATATATATATATGTATTTGATATATATATATATGTATTTGATATATATATATATATTTGATATTTATATATATTTGATATATATATATATTTAAAATTCCAATGCTGGAGCATATGTGAATGAATTAAAGACATTAAAAAAAACGGTTCTTTTTTTATTGCAAATTTTTTTTTCTTCCCTTTTTGCTTTCCCTGCTGCATGCAGCACACATCAAAGAGTTTTATATGAAAAAGCTCTAAATTGTTTTATTCAGTTTTGTAATTGAGTTAAGAGCTCTTAAGTACTTTTCCTTTCATTGCATTGCAAATTGTGTGTTGATGATATTTTAATGAAGGAATGAATCTGACAGCGTAGGCAACACCAGCAGCTGCAGCAGCACTAGTAGCAGCAACAGCAACAGCAACAGCAATAGTAACAGCAATAGCAACAGCGACAAACGACATTCGCGTTATGACAATTGCTTAATTGCACGTGTTCCTGTGCATGTGTGCAAAGCTGTCTTTACGCTGTTTTATTGTTTAACAATTTCACCTATTTTGTCGTGAAAGAATTCTGAAATATCCTTATAATGGGACAAGAAAATAAAAACAAAAACAAAACAAAGCAAAACAAATTATAAAGAAATTCCCAGAGAGAGGAACTCGTTACTTGCATGCTTTCGTGTTTTGTGTCTTCGCCTTAAGCATAATTTTACTCCTGTGCTTTTCAAGTAATTTCGAAATTCCAACCACATCATTTACTAAGCTACTACTACTACGGTTTTGTTGTAAAACTTCTTTTTTGTAGTAGAGTGGATGATTCATATGTCTGTCTGTCTGTCTGTTTGTCTGTCTATGCATTCCTGCTGTTAAGGGACATCCTCAGCTGAATAATAATGAAAAGCAACTTCAACCACAATTTCTAGTAAATACTATGCGTTACATAAATATGTGAAATGTGTGTGTTTATTCTGTCTGCAACATTTACATATGAACGAAGTATGTTTGTGAAGTTTTCTGTGGGATATCTTATCGTACCACATAGCGGCTCGAGTGTCTTATAGTATTACATATGCATTTAAACCTTAACAATTAAAGGAATTAAAGTATGATTTATGTCACAGCAAATTCACAAACCGCAGCCAGAGAAGGAACTCAGTTATATTCACTTTAGGGCCAATTTTAAACACCAAACAGAGACTTAAACAATATACTGATCGAATTTTCATATTACAAATTTAAATTTGTAAAAGTAAAAGAAGACTTACATTGGCCTTGGGAAGAACCTTGGTCACACACAATTACAGCGTTAGGCAAATATTTAGCAACAGTATTTAGTCATGAATATGAGAAGAGTAATTTTATATTGAATTGTGAGACGACCTGGTCGGGATTTATAAAATTATTTCCTATACAGATGGATATGTGTAAAGGTAGAAAGAGATGTACCTTAGGAAGAACCTTTGTCACACACAATTACAGCCTTAAGCAAATATTTAGCAACAATTTGCTCCTTAGGTTAGTCGTGAATATAAGAAGCGTAGCTTAATATTGAATTCTGAGACAATCTGGTCGGGATTTATAAAATTACTTCCTTTACAATTGGATATGTGTAAAGGTAAGAAGAGATGTACATTGAACTTAGGAAGAACCTTGGTCACACACAATCACAGTCTTAAGCAAATATTTAGCAACAATTTGTTCCTTAGGTTAGCCGTGAATATAAGAAGCGTAGCCTGGTATTGAATTCTGAGACGATCAGGTTGAAAAGGTATGTGAAGAGTTATAAAATTATTTCCTATACACTTTTTGTCTTTTTTAAGAAAATTCTTTAAAATTTCGTTAGGGGAAGTTTTTCAAATGTATCAGGCACGTTTGTAAGAAAAGATTATATTTATTTGTAATCTGTACTGTAAAGTCGAGAAATTGTAAAATTAGTCCTCCAATTTAAAGAGGACAGATGGACAGACAGATAGACTGACAATTCGGAATGTGAACACTTCATAAAGGCTATAACTTGAAATGTATCACGCTCTACCTACTCTATATCGGGAGTTGGTTGTACGAAATAGCAAAACTAAAGCAAGGTCGCTAAGGTTTCTTTTATATCCATCGCCGTGGGTTGGAAATGTACAACATAGCTTGGTCCTTTAGTTTATGGTCCTATTCTTACGCATTTCTGACATCCATGCAATATGTTTGGAAAAGATGGAAAGGAGGTTTGCGCCAACTTATGAAGACGCTTCAACTTTCCCATATTTACGTATATGTACCGATTTGGGATGAATTTTACGTATGCCACGTTTGAAAGGTCCATTCTTTTCATAACTGAGGTAAGAAAGTTATTCTTGCAATTTTTTTTAAATAGAGCTAATATAACTTCATTTCGAAATTTATAAAAATCAATTATTTGTAAGTTATGGACGACAGTGTTTGTGAATCTTCGTTTCATGGGTTATGTTTAGTTTTTGAATCTTGTAGACAATGGAATGAGACCAAGACAATACGTAATAAGCTTTGAAGATTTTTCTCACTTTTTCCACTTTTTGCGATTTCGGGAGACTTAGGAAGTGAGGCAGATATGTAGAGATACTGACGGATAGGAGGATCCGGGTCCACTACCTCCATGTTTGAGTGCTATCAAATATATATATGTATATAAATAAAATTAGTAAATCATTGTCCTTTTCTAAAGAGAAACCATTACTTTACCCTCACATCACTTGTAGTACAAAACATATTAAGCTTGAGTAGGTGTATGCAACATCCGGAACGACTTAATCGAGACTCACCTTTTATTATATCGATTTAAGCCTGTCTGTCCATCTATTCTTGTGATATGTATTTTTGTTATCATTCTTCAGGTCGCAATTTTGGAGATATTTTGAAGAAGTTTAGCACACTGACATGTGCCGCCTTAAGCAGCTATGCTGTTGTAGATTGAATCGAAATAGGTTTACGCCCACTTCCCATATAATATCTCATTTGAAAGCAGTCTCTTTATGGAAAAACAGTCATTTTCACGTTATTCATAATAAAAATCGGTTACAACTAATGTTTTGATACAGAAAATATATATGTGGATAATTGGATTGGCTTAGACTATTTTTTTAGCTCTTTCTCCACATAAGGGTTCTATTAAAAAACAAATCTTTTTCTGGCAAAAATGTCTAATCTTCATATTTTTTGCTAAAAATTGGTCGACAAGAGTGTATAAAGTTTGAACTCTGTATGTTCATTTTTTCGATCCCACCACATGTAAACGCTAACTTCTCATGAGAATGGATTTTCGAGTTTTTTTTTGTCATGTTGGTACGTATGCCCTCAAGAGTATCAGCCAACTTGGCAACGAAGTTAGTTGCGAAATAATGAAATTTTGAACAAAAAAAAAAGTCGTACTTTTTGGCCGAACATAACACCATTATCATGCTTCATTCGTCGTATTAACCGAACGTGGCCCTTGTCTAAAAAGACTCATGAAAGGCCCTGCCACGATTAAGTAATAATATACATTATACATAAACACTAAAAAACCTATAACTGTAAAGTGCTTGAATAGCAAAAAGATACAAAAAACCAAAGATAAGAAAAATACGTCCAAATGTCATTATTTAAAAAAAATGCGAAAATATAGCAAAACTAATTTAAACTTGCATGGCGTTGAAGAGGCTTGAAGCAACCAAATGAATAGTTTACATATTGAGAATAAACCGGGGCGCAGCTAATTCTTATCAGGAGATGGAGATAGTATTGCTAGCAGAGCTCAAGGTCATTCCAAAAAGTGCTTATCAGAAGAGGTTTGAGGATAGGAAAAAATGTTAGCACAAGTATATTATATCTAAAGGAGTGGATTGCTTTGAATTTTTCGAGAAAAATAAAAACTCACCTTCAATTTTTTAAACACACCTGATAGAAGGATTCTCATGAGAAGTAAGCCTTTTTCACGAAAAGAGGTGAGAAACAAATAAAATCTCTGTCAAGAAAATTAAATTTGTTAAATTTTGAGCGGATGAGTTCAGGTTAACAGTTGTCTCTCCTATTACGGCTCCCATGAAAAACACGTCTTTGCCCGGAAACGTTGTAAAGTTTTTGTTATTCTACCACAGAAGTAAATTTTATTAGATGAAGGCTGTGTAAGGCATTTAATGGTCGGCTTAGTCTAAGCGTAATCTTTTTGCTTCCTTTTGTGAATAAAATTTCCGCAAACTTCTGAAAATGAAATCGAAAAATTTAGATTTTCCTGATTAAGACAAAGATTGTAATCACTGCATGAAACATGAATAATTCATAACTTTTTCCTCTTCCTTTTCTTCTCTTTATTTGATTTAAGCCATCATGAAAGTGGATTATTTGCAAATCATTGAAAATTTTGAAAACAATGCAAAATATTAATTACGCTTTTTTAACAGAGAAGTGACGAGAATTTTGTGAATTTTATGTGTGTGTATGTAGATGTGTGCGTCAATGTGAAGTATGATTGAAAATCATAACTTTTTATTTATTTATAATAATCAAGAGAGAGAGAGAGAGAGAGAGAGAGAGAGAGAGAGAGAGAGAGAGAGAGAGAGAGAGAGAGAAAGAGAGAGAGAAAAAGGTAAAAAGACATAAAAAGCCAAGACTGGATATTGATTACATTGCTCATCGCTCTTAATACCTGTTTAATGCGTTTTTCTGTTCCTGTTGTGACTTCAGTTGTTTGTTTGCTTGTAGCGCTCGAAATCCTTTAGAAATTTTGTATACATTGCAGTTGTTGTTGTTATTGTTGTTGTTTTTTGTTTTTTTTTTTTCTTTCTCTCAATTGTATAATGATATGGGAAAGCACTTG